TGTTTAAGGACAGTTTTCTCATTATATTTGTACTCCTTTGGCCCTTGTATGTCTAACATAGGAGAGGCAAAAACATGTTTTTGATCAATGATTTTGAACATTTAATGATTTTGTTCAATCTTAATACTCCTCAATTTTTAGCTTCTTTCTGAAATTCTTTTGGGAAACTTTCTCTAAATTCTTGAATATTCCATTTTCTTTGTTTTTTGTCTTTTTCCTTTTTATCATACCGGGGATCGAACTTACGACTGCCTGCTTGCAAGGCAGGCGCTTATGCCGCTGAGCTAAATCTCCAGTCCCCTCCATTTTATTTTCATATACTCATTGAAACTAATTTTTTGCCAATTAAGTAAACTACATTCCATTTTAGACTTACAAGAACCTCTTGTGCCTATAAGACAATTTTCCTGCCATTATCTATTATTCATGCTCAATGGAAGATGAGTCAGGTCATGTGATTACCATTCTTCATTTCTTAACAAACTTGTGATACTTTCTGCAGGAAAAATTATTTCCCAGTGGTACATGGAGCACTGCATTGGGTTTGGAAGCATACTTAAAGTCTCAGTATGAAAAATAACAATTACTAGGCAGTGTGTTCCTAAGAATATAATTCTAGATTTAATTATTCAAATGTCAAAATCACTATATTGAATATTGGCACAGCTGTTAGCTTCTTGACTTATCAAGAGTTTGCTCTAAAATTGATTTCAGTGCTAAACCTTTTTCTCTTCCAGTTCGTCTCCTAACTATGATCAAATCATTTTGCTAAATCATCATGTCTTACTTTTTCTATTTATAAATATGGATAATGACAACATCTGATCCTACTTGCTATATGTCATAGGTCTACTTGCAAATTTTATAGTATATTCTGTTTGAAAATAAATAACTACTCAATTTTTCCTTCTATTAAGTCAAAACTTAAAATAGCTTTTAAAAATATGAATACACCTGCATTCTGAATTTCTTAAGAGTAAATTAACATATATTATTGAAGTTCTTGACAGGACTTTTAATCATTATATAATCAAATGATGAGTTTTATGAATGGTGTAAAGGGAAATATGTTTTTCTTTTGTTTCATCCCTTACCTTAAACTTTGCAGGGTTATTATTATGGTATATATCTCAGGGTTTTTAGTCCAATGGGAAGGATACGGGAAAATAAAAAAGAAAACTAAGGAACACAATAAGGCAAAGAATTCCCACTTTCCCTGGGAACATTCCTCCAAGAGCCAAGATACCAACACACTCTAAATCCCCACTGGCAAGAAGAAAGAGTTTGCTCTAAAATTGACTTTGGTATACCCATGCCAAAGCAAATAAATCAATGCAAGTGAAACACTTTGAAAGGTAAATGGACTTTAAAAATATTTGGGTAGGTTAAATTTTCTAATGCGTAGTATTCATTACTGTCAGATATGATAAGGGTACACGTCCATCAGGAATGGGGGATTTCCTCCAGGTACATGACTCATTACTTTTAGACCAATGCTGAATACAGTGGACACCCTTAACAAATGTTACTGAATGAAGAAAAATAAGCCAAGGTTAAGTATGTAACGCTCTACCTAAATCAGAACTGTATGCATCTGAGTAAAAAGAAGTTAAGTTCCCAAAGTTCTTAGATTCTTTTCATCTATACACAGTTTGGATCAATGAGAATTCCAGAATGATGAACAAACCTGAAAGCCTATCTGACCTAGCTACTCAAGCCATGGGGAAAAAAATACAGATTAAGCTTCTACTTGCTGGGATCCTTTGTCCCTAGCCAAAGTCAGACTCAGAGAGGTTGACTGACTTTGTTCAGGGTTTGAGTCTCAAACCACCTATACAGAATTTTGAGAGAACAACAGTTACACGGTCTCCATAATAGCGCCATTCTTTTTTTTCTACTCTTTTAGAGCAAGCTTTCAAAACTGAAGTAAAAAGACCTCGGTTCTCTTTCTGACTGACAATGAATGAAGAAGTAAACATAGAGGACAGGTAAGGAAAAAAATATTCCAGTTGTCTTTCTAAAATTTCTGGACTGAAGTCTTTGATCATAAATCTCCAAGGGCCTCTTTCATTTCTAAGTAGAAGTTCACGAACACTTAGCAAGTCCTCCAGGCACTGGTCAACCAGAAAGAAATTTCTCACTTAAAGGATTTTTTCAGACACCCCAGGCTGTATTATGGAAATGTAAACCGCAAATTGCAAAGTAACGGGATACACCACTGAAAATTAAATTGATTACCTTATTGTAAGAAGCAATCAGAATAAAGATCAAGCAGAAGAGCAATGCACATTAAGTTGCAGCTTTTATGAGTGTACATCAACCCAAATTCCAGAAGAGGGTGTGGCTCTGTCTCCACCCCATGGAAGGCCGGTACTGCTTTGGTCTAGTGAGTCTCCTGTACAGGGCAAACTTTTCAGGACTCTTTGAAGAATATATGAAACCACAATCACTCTGGACCCCAAAGGGAAAATGACCCTCAGGAGGCCCTTCTTCTCCAGGTTCATTTTTATAGAAATGCTTTTACAGAAAGCTTCAAACAGTATAATACTAGACTAACCTAATCCCCTTGTGATTGCCAAATAGTAACTTGGCTGAGAACCCTGAAAATTGAGATGGCCAAATTGATATCTTCTTCTAGGTTCGCACTGGTCTTGGGAAACGCACTGAATCCAAAATGACTGTTCTGCAAAACTACTGTTAAAATGGAACTATTTCTTCTAGCTTTGAAAAATGCCATTACTCACGATTGCTTCACTAATAGTGAATAAAAGCACAAACTCATGCACACTTCCGATCAGCTGGCACTATGCTGTGGGCTTTCCATGCACGTATTTACTTAATCCTCAGAACAACCCCCAGCATTCTGATCTCAATAGAAAGAAATGGAAACCTAGTGAAGTTCAGTAACTTGCCCGAAGTTATTCAGCAAATAATGTCTGAGCTGGAGTTCAGCACCAAGTGCGATGAGGACAAATTTACATTTTGCCATCGCCCTCCCTGTCTTTTCTCTTTCCTGAAAACTTGGAAAGGTGCCTGTGACTAACCACAGAGAGCATGGCAAGGGCAAGCACAGTATCTGTGCCAGGCAGTTTCACGCTGGGAGGACGGTGCTCCTGGTCTAGCTGCTCAGAGACCCCCCCCACACTAGATTCAGGTCATCTCTGCTGGCTGCCTTGCTGCGTATAGATTCTCTGTCAAAACACAGTTCAAGATTATAGATATCACCAGGGCCACACACTGAGAGCAAACTTCAAATGGAGCCTAGATTATAAAAAAGAAAACCAGAAAGAACAGAGATCAGGCCATATATAAGGTTCCTTGTGCCACACCTTCGGCAGTTAAGAACATCATATCCTATTGGAGGTTTAGTTTATGAACCTGCATCATTTGTATGTTATGCCTTAAACATTAAAATAAATCCCCCCCACACACACACACCCCACCTAATTTGTTTCTTTGATACTGGACTCTTTGAAGATGAAATAAAAGTTAGGAGATATATTTAAAAATTATATCCTGAAAACACTGAATCAAAGCATTTCATTCCTTGCTTTCTTCTTTGTCGAGGCTTTAAGCACAGATATTTTCACCCTGCCTATGTTGACAGTCATCGAGGTGACTAAAATACTCAGTATATCTTAGTGAAAAGCTATTTTTAAAATTACTTGATTTAGAAAACTCCAATCATGATAATTTCATGGGACTTCTTAGTACACAAATTAAAAGTTTCAAATTACTCTGCAAGCATTTGTGGATTGAAATAATCTTAATTAGAAAATACCTGCATTAATGCATATTTATCAGGTTTAATGCCTGCCCTGATTCAAATTTTGAGGGTTATATGACTTACAACTCCTGTGGTCAGTGAAAGTAATAATGATGCCATATGAGACCGACAGACTGGAGGTGTCAATTTTAGTCTCTCCCAACACAGTATGGGTTTGAGAATGTCATGTACTTTCTTTTAGCTTCTTTCTTTAGGTCTGAAGAGGAATAACTTCCCCACCAACAGCATTCATTGTTTCATGGATCAAATGAAACAAGGCACTGGAAAGTTTAGCAAACCAAAGGCACTGTAATACAACATGGTATCAAAATTGTAAACCCAGTGCAGGGGGTGGCAGTGTATCCCAATGAGGAAATCACAGATGGACCTGATGGTGCTCTTTGTCATTCTCAAGAACCCACCTAAGTTGTCACATTTGAGAAATGAGAATCAGTATCCCACAAGGACGGGGTGGGAATTACAAATAAAATCTGGTCGGTCTCTAGCAAGGCAGGCACACAGTAGGGACTCAATAAATGGCACCCCTTTTAACAGGAAAGAATTCGTCGAGTGAAGCCAAGTATGCCAGTGTTTCAACACTCACCCCCTAACAGCTGAGCGCTATTCTGCTTAGAACAGTACATCCATTAGCAGAGTCCCAAATAGACCTCTGCGACGGCGGCCAGCACCCTGGGTTTATCCCACTTTAGATCCTAGTGGATTAAAGCTGTCTAGCTGCATTCACTTTTCTTGTCTTAGAATACTATCTCATAGAACCTACTAATAGATCCTCAGCTGCACCAAGCCAATGCTACCCATCGGGTCCACTCCAACTTTTTCTAACCGGCCTTGAGTCTATGAACTTGCTTTGGCTTTCCACTCGTGTAGAGGCAAGCGTGGGGTGGCTGAAAGGGATCAGGAAGGAGCCCAAGTGAGTGCTGTTGTTACTGAGGCTGTTCCCTGTGGCCACTGTGAGCAGCCTTTGAGAGCTGAGGTCCCTCCCTAGCTCCAGCAGTAGAGGCAGGGCCCCCTGCAGGCCCGGGAGCAGCCAGCAGAACTGCACCGTCCTCCCGCGTGCAACCTCGCCCCCCGGGAGACCCACGGAGCGCGCGAGTTAGAGGCGCGGAGCTGGGAAGGGCGCATGCAGCTGGGTTAGTCTTAACTCGACCATGCGGGCGGCTTGGCATTCCTGTTTGGCAAACGCATTTTAAGGCAAAACAGACTCGATGCTTACAATGATCCCAGCCCAATATGGAGTGTCTCTGACTAGCAGGGAGGAGCTGATGCTCGCCATGAGGAAGCCCACCACGGTCACGGCGATGCCCAGGGCCAGCTGCAGCAGGGCGAGCAGCAGCGGGAACCGGCAGCCGCAGCACGTCCGGGCCTCCTCCTCCCCGCACTCCTTGGGGGCCCCTTTGCCCTTCTTCGGCCCCGTGTCGTCGGGCCCGGCGGCGTCCGCGGCTGGCGGCGCGCCCTGCCTCGACTGGCCGCGGGACTGCTTGTCCTTGCCCATGGCGGCCGCAGGGCTGGGGGGCCGGGTGGCCGGTGGCCGGGTGGGCGCGTGCGCGGCGCCCGGGGCCCTGGAGCGCGGCTGGGCGGACTGCGCCTGCCCTGGTATTCGGATTACGGAGGCTGAACAAATATGGAAAACATTCGGAGCCGCCTCGCCAGCCTCCAAAGGCCACGGCAGCCGCGGCGGAGGGGGATGCAAGGGGGGTCGCCAACTGCCAACGCGCGGGGACGCAGACGTTCCCCACTGCGGGGCCCCGGGCCTCCCAAGCCTGAGCGCTTTGCACGGGCGCGAGTGAGTGCGTGTGTGTGTGTGTGTGTGTGTGTGTGTGTGTGTGTGTGCACGCGCGCGCATGCCTGTGCGCGCACGGTGTTTATTAGGTCCCTCTCCCAAAACCCCAGGATTTTATTGTTGTTGTTGTTGTTTTCTGGGAGGTGCAATGCAAGGTGATGAATGTTTAAATCATTTGAGTTTAATTAATAGACAATTTAATCCCTAATAGGCTTTGCCAGGCTCCAAGCTGTGAAGTCATTTCCAGAAGTTAAATTGTTCTAATTTTCCAACACAGGCATATACTCTTGTAAAGTTTTGCAAGCCAAATGACAAATAAAGGCATGTTCCCATTGAGGTGTTTGCTTTTAAAATAACTGCATACAGAGATGATGAGCTCTTTCACACGTTTTTGTTTTTTAAAGCTCTTTTATGAGCACACTCCCCCCATAGGGCATATAGCGTCTCTCCAGCCAGTGCTGCCTGGAATGTTTAGGGGGTTGTCCCCCACTGGAGATGGACTCTTTTTTTTTTTTTTTTTTTTTTTTGTACCGGGAATCAAACTCACAACCTAGCGCTCAGCTATGCCGCTGAGCTAAATCCCTAGCACTTAAGATGGATATTTTTACCCAGGAAACATTGAGGATTTGTTTTTAAACATCTATAATATGCTGGAAGGGAGTTCCAGATAGAGACACACCTGGCCTTTCACCCAAAGTCACGAAGCAAATCCATTAAACTGATCACTGTCATTCTTTTGTACCTCTGTTCAGTAGCACTTAGAGCAAATTTCAGTGAAGCCCTTAGGAAATGACCCTGTCACCCTGAGATATTTATGCCCGCTTTGGTCATTTTACTAGTGGGAAAACTATTGAAAAATAAATGAAGTTGCCCAGGTGCTAGCATAAATGAAGCTTATTCCTACGTTGCTTGCAATCAGTGTATTTAAAGAAAGTCTAATTTTCCACCGTTTCCTCAGCTCCCCCTTTAAATGGCCAAGATCTCACAAAAGTACCTATGAAGAAAACATATCCTTCACCTTACTTATTTTATACACTTCGGTACTCTCCCTATACTTGAAAAAAACATAGCCCACAGACACAGTAATTTAGAGAGTAGAACACAGCTGGGTGCGGTAGCTTGCACCTGTAAATCTAGCTAATTGGGAGGCTGAGGCAAGAGGATGGCAAATTCATGGCTCGCCTGGGAAACTTAGATCTTGTCACAAAACAAACAGACAAACAATGACAAGGGCTAGGAGTGGACCTCAGTGGTAGAGCGCCCTTGGGTTCCAACGCCGGGCCTGAAAAATCAAAGAAAATAGGATCCAAACCCCCCCACCCCAGTTAGCAACAAAGGTCACTGTCACCTTTGGAACCATCACATCACTAGAATTTCTACTGTGAACAATTCAAATTGGCATCAGACCAGGGCACCTACTTAACTTGGATCTGAGAACAACCCTAATAGTGATGTAGTGCAGTGCTTGACTTTTCTGTGTGAATGCAGCAAACATTTCAGGAAGCCAAATGAATATCTACAATTATTTTCTCTTGATAATATAGCTCCCAACCACTGAGTATCTAGTCTGCCACAAGCACACGCTCAGTGTTTTAGTCTATACTCTCACTCCTTACAACCACCTTGGAATTGCAGTTCCCCCGGTAAAGATGAAATATGCTGATTATCAGCATTGTTAAGTAACTGGATTATGGATTCACTCACCTAGTTAGGAAGAGAGTAAAGGAAACCAGATGTGAGCTCCCAAACCAGTGATCTTCTGAGTTACCTATTTTATTACTTTCATCCTCTATGTGTACTGCTTTTAGGCAAATGAGTACTGGACCTTTTGAAATTTTATGATTGTTTAAACAATTTAATTATGATGGATAGTGTTGTTTCTACCACAGAATTAACTTTGGCCTTGAATCAAAGGCTGAGTACTTTACAAAAAAAATCTTGATTTACTACTAATATATACCTATATCATCTGTACTATATGACAAATATCCCCCAGGGGGCTGTGTGTTAAATATTTGGTCCTCAGCTTGCCACTACTGAAAGTTGATGGAGGCCTTTAAGACATGGGGTCCAGGTTACTGGAGGTGCCAGTGCTAGGGATTGTGGGAAGGAAATCCCTCCCCTCTTTCAAACATCCCCTGCCAGCTACTCCCACCATGATGTTCTGTGCTGTCACAGACTCAAAGCAATGAGACCAACCAGCCAGAGACTGACACTTCTAAAACTGTGGGACAAAATAAATCTTTTCTCTTTTTAAACTGACTTATCTCAAGTATTTGTTATAATAAAAGAAAGCTGACCAAGACATGAATGGAGATCATGAAACAAGTTTCTATTTGTTGACTATACTGCTGGGCTCTCATTTATTTAGGAATAAAATATTCCTGGCTTTTCCCACAAAAACCTTAACTTTGACTTAAGTTAAAGTAGTTGAGTAAGATAATAGGATATTCTCTTCATTATTGTTAAGCTTAATTGTGTCAATTTGATTGGCATGAGAGCTGCCCAAGGGAGAAGGAAAGCACACTTCTAGAATTCCTGGGTGGGTCAGGGAGGTGGCACCTTGGGTACTATGCATAGTTCCTGGCCTGGTCCTCTCAAGCACTGTTTCCTGCTGTGCCTCCTGAATGTCACAGTCTAAGTGTTTTTGTTTTGATATATCCTCCCACCAGGATGTTTTTGCCTTGGAGTCAGCTGATCAGAGAATAAGTCCTCTGAAACCATAAGCTAAAGAAACTTGACTTCCTTTAAGTTTGTGGTATCTCGTAATTTGTCCTAGCAATGAGAAAGCTGATTATTATGCTTGTGGATTAGATTTGACTTCCAAGTTTCAGAACCAGTTATACACATACTGTGTCTGTTACTGATGACGATAGCTTCCAAGACCCTATGTGGATACCCGAACTTGCAAATAGTAACACATCCTATATATGCATTTTTCATATGCATTACCATGATAAAATCTGACTTATAAATTAGACATGGTAAGAGGTTAACAATTAATAATAAAATAGAGCAATGATAATGATATACTATAATAAATGTGACTTAAAACTTAAGAAATTTCTATTTCTAGAATTTTCCATTTAACATTGTCAGAAAGCAAAACTACAGGTTAGGGGACAAGTTTATATTTTATTAAGAAAGGCGTACTTTGCATTTCCCAGCTGATACTAGTTACCAATGCAACTAGTTACCAGTGAACAACATCCCAGATAAATTGTGATGTTGCTAGTCTGATTACAGCTGTCTAGTTCAATTTTCAGATTCCAGGGAAGCAGGCTATAGTGTAGGAGACCTCACACCTGCTTAGATTTCTAACAGCACTGGTGCATCAGTATGTGACAGGGCCTGGACTTTGCCAGTATCAGGAGATCATAGTGATAAGGAGAATATTTTCACTTAAATGACACAGGAAAGCTTACACAACGAAGACAGTGAGAAAAGTTGTCAAATAGTGAATGAATTCAAGGCTGATATGAGTGTGTGGTTGTCATCCAAAATGCAGTGAGAAAACTCTCCCTTTTGCATGTTTTTTTCCACTGACAAAAATAACACCATTTTAGCAGAAATGAACAAAGTTTAGCAGAAATGAGCAAGGGCTTTTTTAATATTCATAAATTACGATGGCACTGCTTTATAGGTTAAGCAGTAACTTCAGATATTTATATTGTCAAAAAGAAAAGCAAAGTAGAAAGTGTTTTCAGATACTCTTAGATGCTCTCGTAACTCAAAACTGACAGAGATTATAAATCACAAATTGGAGGAGAGTAGTTAATATGTGTTTTGAGATTATTTTGATCCTCTGGGAAAAAACAAAATTAAGCTTAGTATCTCTGTCTTTATAGTCTATCTCAAATTTAGCATTATTTTGAAGTATTTATGTTTCAGAGGTTTAGAACAAGAAAAATGATAATAACTCTTTCAAAGGAGTATCATTAACAAAATGTCTTTAGGAAATCCAACTAGAAATAATCTCTAAACCAATATACTTATGAAAACATAGTCTTAGATAGGCCAGGAACAAAAAAAGATTTGATAGAGAAATTATTACAATTCCAAGGTTGATATCATCTCTTTAATATGTAATTACATATATCAAAAACATTCCATTAGATTTGATATAAAGGAGTATCAAATGCTGTGCAGAAAATAACTAGGGACTTGTTTTCCTGTGAAGTACTATTGTCCCCAAATGTCTAAGAAGCCTCCATGCCCCAGAGATATTACTGATCTGTGCATGTGTGCATAGAAAAAAACTGTATTCCTCTCCATTTTATTTCCAATTTCTATGTCATTAATTTCTAAAATGTCTGATGGCCTGATTTTTTTCTCAAAAGAATTGATACACTTATAATTTTTGCATGGTGGTTTATATTTCTGAGTTAAATGTCATAGAAATAACATTGCCTAGTGGTCAACAGAGGGCTTGTAACTCTCCATTCTACAGAAATTCTATAGTGATTATAACTACCAAATTGTTTCATGATGTGTTTTACCTACTTACAAGATCTACCTTGTATTTTTGTCAAAGTTTTTAACATGTACTTTGGATATTTCCACTAGATTTGATGAAGTAGAAATAACTACATCTATTTGAATTAAGAAATACCAGGAGAATAGATAAATTATATTTTATAGTCAAATATATATATATATATTTTATAAATAAAGGTAATTAAATACCAGAATAGATAAGTAAATTATAACATATTTATAGTCAAAGGTATATATATATATATATATATATATATATATATATATATATATATATATATATAAAATATATTTTAAAGTGAAAGGTAATCACTAAAGATGTGATTGTGGAGCTAGGATGAAAGAATTAACCAGAAAGTTCCAGAAGGGACTGTCTGGGCAATGGAAGTAAGTCCACTTCTATCACACATGGGTGTAAATAGTTTCAAAAGTCGTGAAACACTTAAACTCGATGT